TGCCCGTGTCGAGGCAGCAACAGCAACAGCCCAGTACTACTAGCACCGAGACGAGACGAGAGAGAGACGGTCGCCCTCCCAGTCCAGTACAGTGACTCACTCTCACTCCAGACTCCTCCCTCTCTCTCTCGTCTCTCTCCTGCCGGCGGCGCCGTGGCGGCGAGCGGCGGAGCACTAGGGGAGGAGGGGGCTCGTGCTCGTCTGTCGCTGGGTGTGTCGGGGGCGCCGCGGATCACTCTGCCTCGAGCTGCGCGCTCGCATTCCGCTCCTTCGATCTGGGTGAGTTTTTTTTTTTTTTGGGGTGTGCTTTGACGCTTGTGCCGTCTCGTCGTCGTGGGCGGCGGCGGTGCGGCTGCTGGATGGATTGATGGATGGATGCCGAGATCTCGAGTGGCTGGGCGTAATGCGGGCGGGGTTTTTTTGCCGTGGGTGGGGGTGCGGGTGTGGGTTTGGGGGGGAGTTTTGGGCGGCAGTGGGGGTGGGTTGTGTGGGGGATCCGCTTCTGCTTCGGGGGTTTGCTGTTGATCTGCTTGTTTGTGAGGTTTGCTCCTTCCATGTGTGCTCAGATCGTGACGTTTTGGATGGAATTATTGCTTGGTCAAATATGGTCAATTGGTGAAAAGCATTCGGGTTTAGCATTTTTTGGTGTGGGATTGGTGGGGTTTGGGGATTTCTTCATGGGTTTAAGCTTAATCTTAGCTGTAGGATCCTCATAAAGTATAGGCCTAGGTCTTCATTATTGGCAATGATGGGGGGTCGGATCTTAGTGTTACCATGACTTGTATAGCTGCTAATTTAACTACTATTAAGTCTTGCATGCGATGCATGGCAGATTTAATGGCTAACTGTAGAGTTGGTGCCAATCGAATTTGGAAGTGCATTTGGTGCTAATTCTTGTTAGTAGGCTGATCTGGGATGTACCCATCATGTACTAACTCTCTGCTTCCTGACAGGTTCATCTGTTCTGAGATGGCTGGCGACATTACGTGTGGATCCTTGCTGCAGAAACTGCAGGTGCGTGATTGATTTGTTGCTTGTGCTTTTGCGATCCGCGTCTAGTTTATGCATTTGTGCCTTGCTTTGTGTTGTGATAGTGGTGTGCTTCTGTTCTTAAAACTGCAGTTGATATGGGATGAAGTTGGTGAGAGCGACGAGGACCGCGACAAGGTCCTGTACCAGTTAGATCAGGAGTGCCTGGATGTTTACAAGAGGAAAGTTGACCAGGCCACCGACTCTAGGGATCTCCTTATCCAGGCGCTGGATGACTCGAAGATTGAGCTGGCCAGACTTTTATCTGCTCTAGGAGAGAAGGCCATAGCAAGAACTGTAAGTGAGCATTATCATCACATTGAATAGTCATTTGTTCGATGCAACGTGAGTGGCTCAGCGGAGGACAATTGGTGGTGCAAGTTGCAACTTACTTGTCCTAAATAATGTCTTCTCCGTTAAGTTTGGTGTTGTAGCTTAGAAGTCAGGCAATACCTCGTTCTGAATGTTTAGTTTCTTGTTTTCATTATTATAACTTGAAGTAAAAACAAGAGTGCTCGATGCATGCAGCCTGAGAAGACGTCTGGGACAATCAAGCAACAACTTGCTGCTATAGCGCCAACACTCGAGAAGTTGAACAAGCAGAAAAACGAAAGAGTGCGGGAATTTGTTAATGTTCAGTCACAAATTGATCAAATATGTGGTGAGATTGCTGGCACTACGGAGGTGGGTGAGAAGGTGGCAACGCCACAAGTTAATGAGGATGATTTGACACTTGAGAGGCTTGAAGAATTTCGTTCACAACTACAGGAGCTCGAAAAAGAGAAGGTACATGTAACCTGTATAATTTCTTCATTTGGTGCTAGCTGTGATGCCTGACCATTGCTGACAAGATTTGGTTCCCTTGGGAATTGGTTTGCAGAGCAATAGGTTGGAGAAGGTTCTTGATTATGTGAGCATGATACATAATCTCTGTACTGTCTTAGGGATGGATTTTCTTAGCACAGTGACTGAAGTTCATCCCAGTTTGGATGACTCTATTGGTGACAACTGCAAGAGCATTAGCAATGATACACTGTCAAAACTTGACAAGACTGTAGCCACACTTAATGAAGACAAAAAGTCAAGACTAAGCAAGGTAAAGAACATTTTTAAATCCTTACTGAAATTGAATCATACTCTATTTGCAGTATTTCTTTTTTTATGCTTTCAATAGAAGCAGGGCCTTTCAGGCCTTTGATCTATACAAATTTGCTGGGTTTTTTTTTCTTGATTCTTGTAATATGTTTCATCATTGTTCTTGTCTTATTGAAATATGACTACTCTTTGCATGGACAATAGCATCTAATGGCTTGCTTCTTGTTCTCAGCTTCAAGAGCTTGCTGGTCAACTCTACGATCTTTGGGATCTCATGGATGCCCCCATGCAAGAAAGGAGCATGTTTGATCATGTCACCTGCAACAGATCAGCCTCTGTAGACAAAGTCACTGCACCTGGAGCTCTTGCCCTGGATCTCATTGAGCAAGTGAGATTAAACAGTAAATCTTTTTTGGTGCAATTACTGTCTGACACTAATCCTTCCACTGCATTTGACTTTCTGTTTCCAAATTGTTCAGGCTGAGGTAGAGGTTCAAAGGCTAGACCAGCTAAAATACAGCAAGATGAAGGAAATAGCTTTCAAGAAGCAAACTGAGTTGGAAGACATCTATGCTGGTGCTCACATGGTAATAGATACAGCTGCTGCCCATGAAAAAATATTGGCGCTGATTGAGGCAGGGAACATAGAACCATCAGAATTGATTGCAGATATGGAAAGCCAGATATCAAAAGCAAAGGAAGAAGCATTGAGTAGAAAAGAAATATTAGACAAAGTTGAAAGATGGATGTCTGCTTGTGAAGAAGAAAGCTGGCTTGAAGATTATAACCGGGTAAGATGATATTTTGTTGTAGCAAATCAAAAGTATTACATCTTTTATTCTTTCATGATTTAAGTGATATTACCAAATTATTCTGTTTTTAAATAGCCTATCATGAATTGAAAATCCTTCTGCAGGATGACAACAGATATAACTCAAGCCGAGGTGCCCACCTGAATCTCAAACGTGCTGAAAAGGCTCGGATTCTTGTCAACAAGATTCCAGGTATGTTTGGATGACAGCAATGGAAACCTCTCACTTAGTCAGTTGCAAATTTTTTCATACCTAGGAACACTATATATGTCCATGGGGCTTATTATTTTACTGTACCGTTCATTTTTGTTTTGAGTAAATTTATGAATTCTGCTAATCATATGCTTTGTTAGTGTTTGGCTAATGTAATGAATGGTTTTATTCTAGCACTTGTTGAAACTCTGGTGGCAAAGACCAGGGCATGGGAGGAGAGCCGTGGTCTGTCCTTTATGTATGATGGTGTACCTCTTCTAGCTATGTTGGATGAATATGTCATGCTAAGGCAGGAAAGGGAAGAAGATAAGAAAAGAATGAGGGTGAGTGCCACTTCCTCTTTAAATGTTGAATCCATTTTCTTGAACACGTATCACCCTTGAGCGTTGATCGAATTCTTTTAAATCTCGTGTTGAGTCATGTCTCTTTTTGGTGATGAATTATGTCAGTATTTTCAAGTCACAAAACACCAAAAAATATGTTCTGCAGACAGCATTTAGGTGAAAATTGCATATGACTAATCCATGCATTGTATAGATTGGTATTGTGAGGGAATAAATAGAAATTGTAACAGACTAACAGCACGATTGCTTTTCACAGCAATTTCCGTTTTGCTAACACTTCATTTTATATGTTGCTCACCTGTGTTCACATCCCAGGAACAAAAGCGCTACATCGAGCAACAACTGAACACCGACCATGAAGGGCCATTTGGTTCACGTGTGAGCCCTAACAGACCAGTCAGTGCAAAGAAGGTACCTGGTGCAAAATCAAATGGCAGTGCTAATGGCACTCCTCCGAATAGGAGACTTTCGGTCAGCGGTCACCAGAACGGAAGGTCTGGAGGAAAGGATGGCAAGAGGGACTCTGCCAAGACAGCTTCCCCCGGGAATGTAGCAGCTGCTAAGGAAGATGCATCCTCACACATTTCTGGCACCGATCCGGTTCCGAGCACACCATGATCTTTAACCTTATGGTATATTAGATAAAGAGAGGACAGTTTCTGATGTTTCCATTGATTTGTGGCTATATAATGTATTGTGTTTGTAGCGAGGAGTAATTATATAACGTCCATCCTTCAGGCAGGATCTTTTGCTTCTGTGGAGTAAGTGGAGTTCAACTTTTGATTAGTTCCCTCAGCTGTACTATTTCCCCTTCTCATCAGACTCTGTAGTATAGCCTTTGCTGGTATGTATTACTATTCGTTAACCTGTTTGCTACATGTACAAGTTCTTGGAATGCCTTTCCCCTGCCCTGCTTGTGCCCGACTCTGCATTTTCTTTTGATTTTAATTACCACTCTGCTTGTGGTTCAATCATTAAATCTACCGTGCTGAATCTACCATATGACTTGTTATATTGATGTTTCAAAATTTTAAAATGTCTTGAAAACATGTTTTTTTTTTTACCGGAGGGAGTATAAGACAGTCGAATTGCAGAAAATTCAGAAAACATGGGATTTTGTCTCTGCCCCTCTGGTTAGAGCATCTTCACGAGGTCCGTAAAAATTAGCATCCAATAATTTCATATTGGGGCCTATCCCAAAATAATCGTCCACCATTTCCTTTCTGGGTATCTCTTGTATTGGCAGTGGCAGGTCAAGACTCAAGAGATAAAATGGGGTTGGGCGATCTGATCTTTTAAGTATGAGTGGCTTCAAAACACTTGCTACGAATAGTTAACAGCAGCTACGAATAACAAACTGAAAATGCCTTTCTGTTCTACCAATTGCTTGAGACAGACGAGAATATACTCCAAACTATAACAGCTCACAGAACATTCGGTAACTGACTAATTCATTCTTAGTCCCAGCACAGGCAAATAGACAAATAGAGAATCGTTTTTCGCAACATTTCGAGCTCCGCTTATATGCGGAATAAGCCAAACGGTATATTTGCAAATAAAAAGTAATTTGTGAATAAAACTTTTATATATATATATATATGTTCTTAGCGATGTAAAAGCAAAGGCTGAAAAATAAACTTCGATGAGAACCTCAAAATTGGCTTCAAATTTAAGGTTGAAAATTCAAATTTTGACTGATAAGCATAAACGAAAAGATGAGTCCGTTCTTCTAGTCTAGAAGATAGTTCAGTCGTTCAGAAACACAAACACCAAAGATGAACGGATTGCACTATAACAAAACAAGAAAGCATATATAAGCTTTTAACGGTAGCGCCGAAGAGAGACGGTCTGGTTGCGCTTCCAGGTCGCCCTTGGGGAAGAAGGCCTAGCCTTGTGGTGAGTGTGGCCTTTGCCGCGCAGGCCACGGTACTTGTTGCCAGCAGAGGTGAGACCATGGAGCTCGCCGTGCTTGTGCACAGGCTTGCAGAGCCAGTTGATCCTTGGGGTCGTCGCGGATGGCGCTGTGAGCAACATCCACAAGGATGATCTCAAAGTTCGGTGGAGTCCTGTGTTAAGCCAACAATGGAAAAACCGAGGAATTAAAGAAAAGCAGACATGATTTTGATGTCGTCTTCCCGAGATCCCAGATGAAATCAAGCTATATACCTCGTTCACCCAGTAGGAGGTGAGCACCCTGAGTCCACCCAGCTTGCGCCCAGCAGCTCCTCAGCAACTGACCTCTTGTTCCTCTGGAACTTGAGCTGGGTGATACCCTGGTGCTTGGGTTTGCTGTAAACGATACCCTTGTGCACTGGCCTCTTCCTGCCACCACGCCGACTCGGACACGGTAAAACCACATAGCCCTGAAGGCAAGGTAAAAAAAGTAGTTCAGCACTATATCTAGATTAACAATATAGTGCCAAAACATTCAAATGTGAATCAGACAGCAGCATATGCATACAACATGTCGGCTAAAAAATGGGAGCAACCATACAAAATTTTGCTAGAATCATAGCAAATAATACAATACAATACAATTTATCAACCATGAGCAGCAGATTGCTAATGGCACTCCCTCCGTTTTCAATATACGGCACATATTAAAAAATGGAGGGAGCACATCATAACTAATACAGTAAATACAGACAAACCAATGTACCATGCCAATTCCAAGCAAAATAGTGCACCAAAAACATGTTATAGAACTATATTACCTAAGCCAATTACAGTTACAAGGGATGTTCCTACATTGACAAAAGTATCCCTTGAAAATGCTATCTACCTAATAAAATCTAGTAGAGACAGAGAACCTAAGATACTACAGTGACACAAGAAAAGAAAACGGTGCATCTGATCATTTTCTCCAAATGGAATGGTGACACACTTCCCGAGAAGAATATCCATCCATTCTATACGAAGAGTCACAGCCCAACAATTTCCTATCAAGAAACAATGCATACCGCATCACTTGTCAAAGAGCATGTTCATGATGCCCCTGAACACATGCCCTCGCTTCACCGTGCCGCTTCGCACTGCTTCCTCACTTGGAGTGAACCCCTTACTCTTCATTGTTTCCAGAAGAACTCTGCCTTCTTCCACCTTCTCCATCCTCACGTATGCCTCAAACACAGCCAGGTATGTCGCTGCATTTGGTCGCATTCCGCGGTCAAGCATTTCCACTATGTACTTGCCAGCCTCCATGAACCGGTCGCTAGCTGCGAGCCCCTTAACCAGAACCGCGAGCGTATACGCGTTAGGCGTGACCCCTGACGCGAGCATACGGTCGTAGGTGCGCACAACGTCACGCCAATGGGCGGGGCCAGCATTGGCATAGGCCTCTAGGACGGCAGTGTGCGCGACCACATCGGGCATGGCACCCTTGTCCTTGATGATCGCGAAGAGCTCCAGTGCCTCGTGGGTGAGCCCGTCCTTCGACAATCCGTCGAACATCTTGATGGCATAGTCGGTGAGGCCCTCGGTGCGCATCCGATGGAAGACCTCCTGGAGGTTCGTGGGGTCAGATGGCTCCATGACTGCAGGCTTCTTGCTGAAGGGGTCGTATGGCAGCGGGAGATTGGGGCTCTTAGCTTCCATTGGAGGTGGGGAGGGGTTGTCGTCATCATCAGACCAGTCGAAGGCGACAGGAGAGTTGGTGTTGGAGCTGCGGTTGGTAGGTGGAGGTGAAGATGTGGAGGAGAGGAGGCGGCGCGTGTTGAATCTAGCAACAGAGCAGGTGGGCCGGAGGAGGGGGCGGGTGGCGGCGGCAGCGGCCATGGGTAGGAAGCGGTGGGGGCAGGGGACCTGGAAGGGAAAAAGAAAAGACGGGTTACTTGGTCTGGCTCAATTGCTCTAATAAAAAATAATAAATTTAACCATAAATGGTGCCATTTTTGCAAAAACTTTATGTATATGAATTTTTAAACACCACTTTAAATCCATCTTTCAATTTTATAACAGTTAATTGTACCCTCGAATAGTTATCAGAAATCACTTATCTATTCAGCATCCCATTCCATTCAACACAAAATAACACACTATAAAAAAGAGTAAATTTCATAAAACCCCATCTATTATGGTTCCAGTTGCACAAAACCATAGGGATTTTGGCACGTGGCACGTAACCCCAGGAATTATGGTCCTCAAGTTTCATAAAAAACTACATATGTGGTTTTGTGAAATTTACTTCATAAAAAACTAAACAGGATAACTACAAATGGCGGCACTAGGTTCAAGTTGATCAAACACATAAACAGGACGATATGATCTCACAAAAAACTAAACCTCAATTTCCAGAAAACAGATCAATTCTTCTACTTGAATAAATTAGGAACAGATATATGGGTATATAAGACGCTGCAAATATAAAAAAAACATAAAAACTAGAGACAGCTACCAGCAAGGCCAAATCCATCCATCCATTGATACCGCTTGAACACACAGGGAGGGATCTAGAGGAGGAAGGTGAGTGAGCGACCTGCTTGGCCTTGTCGCCGAGGCGGCGGGCCTTGTCGGGGCGGGTGGGGCGCCCGATGGCCGGCTGCCGCCGGTGATCCCAGCACCGCACGCGCTGCACGAACGTCATCACGTCCGACTGCTTCCTCCTCCATAGCTCCGACACGCACCTGTAAGCCCCTGCACATCGCCCGCAGCAAACAACATCAGAGCGGAAGGGAAGGGGAGGACGGCGAGGAACAAGCGGCGGAGGAGGAGCTCACCCATGTCTCTGCGGCGGCGGAGAGCGGCGAGCGGCGGCCGCGGGGAGGTGGAGCGGGAGAGCCAGGCCCTAGGGTGTCCGTCGGATGAGGCCTTCTGCTCTTTTCAGCTTGACTATAGCAGGATGTCAAGCCCAGTCAGAGTCAGCCCATAATGGCCCAGGAAGCAGGGATAAATAAAGGAATAAGTTCACTTTAGGTCCCTCAATTTGTCACCGAGTTCAAAATTCGCCCCTACACCACAAAACCGGGTATAACTCATCACCCAACTTACAAAACAGTGCAAGCAAGGTCCCTCCGCAGTATTGTCCCCGGTTTTAGCTGACGTGGTGCCTACGTGGCACTCCATTGACTAGGTCTTTATCCCACGTGGCGCTTACGTGACGATTCTATCCGAAAAATAATAAAATCCGTGGGACTCCGAGGACTCCGAGAACTATTCTATTCTACTCTACTTAGCACTAAAAATATACTAAACTAAAGTGTAGAGAGGAATCTTGAGCGTGCTTGAGTGTGAGTTTTTCTTATCTCTCTTTATTTTATTTGTTCAATTCCTGCAACAATTTATTCTCCAAGTACAGGTGGAACTATATTATTCTAAAACAAATATGCATTATAAGCATAGCTAATTCTCCTTTGTTATAGTTATATTGACGGTCGAAATTGGTCTATAACGACCGCACTGCCTCACTAGTGCCCTCCCCGTTAATCACGTTCAATTTCTCGCGGAGTATTCAACGAAGATGATTCTCGATCTTCCAGACCGTGTAGGACCGAGGGCTCGTGAGGGTCCAAACCTATGAATCCCACAAAATGATCTGGAGTTGTCTCTACGTTCCGTTCCTCCGCAACACATCGAGATTGAGCTCGTGCTTGTTGGATTTGAGGGCGTGGAGATTTGGTTGCATTGAGAAATATTTTGCAACTCGAGAGATTATGCATCTTCGACTTATGAATCGAACACCAGGTGATATTTGTTGGTGAAGTACGTTGGATCCCTTGTTCTTTGCAAACCCTGAGTTCAGCCTTCACATGTTGTACCACCGGGCAGTCCGACAAAGAATGTTTGGGTGTTTTATGAATGACACACCAGGCGGTTGATTTCTAGCAGAACGTCCTTGTCGGCGCCTGGTTCCCGATAAGAGGACCGGGATTGGCCGCTTGAGGTCGTTCCCCAGATGTCGTCATAGCCGATGTCTGCTTCTCTGTTCAGACGGAAGGAGCAATCGACGGTATGTCGTTTCTTGGAGTCGTAGCTACGCCGTTCTTGTTTCAATAGAGATTGGGCTAGACGAGATCGGTACCACAGAGTAAACCGGAAACACGATAAATTTGACTTGAGTCCACATCAGCGGAGCTGAGGTTGAATCTCTGTTAATGACCAAAATTGGTAAATCATAGATTCGGTCTAAGATCAGAAACGGAGCGGATTTTGAGGTCTGTGGCCATAGAAGCAGAAACCGCATCGGCTACGGGAAGCATCAGCTATTGTCTGCATAGGCTAATACTGAATTGGACAGGGAGAAGCCGACGTAGCCGATCCGGGAAGATGGTTCTAGAATCATTGTTGGGATCAGTTGAGGCGCCGCACAAGCATTGCCACGAATGGAAGGAGTCCAAAGAGGGAAATTGTATATATTAATTAGAATGTTTTTATAGCTCTTTTAGAGATATTTTCGGTAAGAGTCCGCCTAAGGGACTTGTTTGTATTTTGAGTTGTGATAGAGATAGAGTCGTTGTCTGGCAAGGACATATCATGTATTATGGGTATAAATATGACCTGATACCTTGTAAACAAGTAACATTAGTTCGATATTACTCTTGGGGCATCGCCACCTTTTTTTTATTTTCATTGTTTCGACGAGTTCTTGTTTTTGAGTTGGGCAGCATTGGTTTGCGTTCTCGGGATTAGTGCTTACATCTTCATGACACTCTAATCATGCTTATGTGAATCGCTGAGCTATCATATATGCTGTATAATCTAGATCGGTCTCGTTGTTTAACCTTATCGGCTAGCCTCTATCATCGAAAACAGCCAACAAGGTTAAACATTGACGAATGAATTAGATTATACAGTATATTTACCATCTCAAAAAGGCTATCATCGGTTTGCTTAGATATTATGTTTCCCTCTATGCTTAATGCTGCATCAGTTGAGTTTGATCTGTTAAGTAATATTTAGAACCATAATATCTAGCTTGTCTTATGATTGCCAATAGAGATAGCATCGGAGTTTCAGCCGATCTTACCTGGTTTAGTTATCTTGTTTCCTTTATGTTTACTTGATACGCTAGATCTGCCCTTTATATTGAGATCTCGCTTGTTTGAAATATATTAAGCTTACTATCAGTTTGTTAGATTTTCCTGATATTAGATTGATTCCTGTTTAGTATATTTCATCTATATTGACATCTCAACATAAAGTGGTATCGGAGTACTAGCCGATACATGTTAGATCTGCCTTATCGTCTATGCTATGAATATACATAATCTTTACTTTGAAGTATTTTTGGATCCAAGTGATTTATACTGTCTCGGCATGCTGTCCGATCTATCCCAACCACTTGGTTTAAACGTATTTCGATGTATCGATTATATATTATTGATATCTGCAGCCGATCAGGTAGATCTAACTGTTTCTACAGTTTATCCTTCGTTCCCGATCTAATGCATGTTACATCGGCTTAATATTGAACGATACATTATCGGCAATCCAGCCGATCGGCTGTCGTTTATGGATTTAACTTTGTTTCCCTTTTGTTTTTTTTGTTGGTTGCAGGATCACCAATTAGCACGCCTCAGAACCCGAAGGCAATTCCTTGGACCTGCATTGGAGCTAAGCAGATCTCTTAGGCAAGTGTGTGTTTTTCGCATCAACAATTTCCCAAGCTGGGGCTGACATAGATGAAGTTGTCGGAGCGGCCTGAAGTCATGTTGGCAGAACCTTGGGCACCAAGTGTCTCTACCTGGTGCGCCACTGTCAACGGGGGATACCCGTAGACTGGATAAATAGGGTATTGGGGTACATTGGTACGAGGATCTACACGATACGACATCCAAACAGACAAAGACAAAAATTATACTGGTTCAGGCCCCTCATGAGGTAATAACTCTAATCCAGTTTATATGAGATTGATATGGAAGACCACAGAGTACAAAGAGAACAGATGAACCCGGTGAGATCCTTGTCGAGACCGTTCGACGAGATCTGCCGGCGAATTTGGCTTCACGTCCTCCGGCTTCGTAAACTATGGTGGGTGTGTTGGCGTTATGATTGATGATCTAAACCCCTCAGGGGGTGTGCCTTTTATACCGTGAGTTGCCTTAGTCTCCAACTAGAACTCGGAGACAATGAGCCCTGCACGATATAGGATAAACCCAACCCTCTTCGAGTAGGACTCTGTTAATCACCAGCCCGTGAGAATATTTCCCATAATATCTTGTAGACTTCCTTATCACATACGGAAATATATCGTATGAACGATGATATGTCATACTTGTATATTCTGAGTCGTAGGATAAGAGGTATACCATATTTGTAACCATGACAAATATATATAAAAATAAGATGTTTGTAACCATGACAAATATATATATATAAACAAGATGTTATAAATAAAATGAGTTACTTATTATGACAGTGATAGTTTATTTAATAAAAAAATTCTAGTAACAACAATTTTACATGATTGATTTTTTTTATTTTTTTCTATTAATAATCAAAGTTAAAAATGTTTGACTTGTCATTGTGACAGTAGTTTTTTTTAAAAAGAAAACTGTCGCTGTTTTTTTTTAGCAAATCCGTTTTTATTTATCACCACACCTAATCTTTTCGTTCCCTGACTAGTGACTAGGATTCTTCAATTCCCACACCACTCTCACGTTACTTTCTGTGAGTCAGCAACAAAGCTACTTATCCCAACAGTTAGAGTTAGGAGAGAAAGACGAGCACCGTAACTGAACAGTCGTACTGATGACTCCGCATGCTGAAGTTGACGGTTGGCATCAGTGTTTTGATGCGTGGTGCTGACCAAAACAACACGGCAAAACGGGCAGAGTATCAGCGAAGCTGGAAGACGTCCCTGGCACTAGCAATTGAGCTACACCTACACTGCACGGTACGTACGTACATACATGGAAAACTATTCTAATCATCTAATGGACATTCACCCGTTCATTACCCCCTCTGTTTCCAGTGCCGGCCATGACTTTTCGGTGGCATGGTTTGAAAAGAAAAATAAAGACCCCATTCACCGTAAAAATACAAGATAATATATAAAAACTCATTGTCATTAACGAATTTCACACTAATAAATTTAAAATACAATCAAGCAGTCTCGATCGCCAATTGGTATTCTGTCTTTTCTCTAAGCCTATTAGGCTTGATACCATGTATACATATTTTGGAGGCCCCTAATTTTTGAAGGCCCAGTACGGTCGCACCGTCCGCACTGCCCCATGGACGGCCCTGCCTGTTTCATATTAGTTTCATATTATAGGACTTTCTAGCATTATATATGTCTAGATTCATTAACACGTATAAAAATATAGACAATGCTAGAATGTTTTATAATATGAAATGGAGGAAGTACATGTTATCTAAATATTTATAATTATTTTAGAAAAATTAACAAGATATATATTAACTTCGCAAACAGACAAGTTAAAAATTAACTTTTACAAATTGTAAAAAAAAATTAACTCAAATTAGTATACATATAATCGCAATTAAGTTTATTATTGTTGTTACAACCTATAGAATTTGAATTTAAACTTATATGCTCGTGGAGTGATATATTACATATTAATTTATCTTCCTCTAATCAATTTATTTTATAATTATTTAATTAACGGTAATAAATAGATGAACGTCCACCGGTGATTAGAATCATCTCCTGCATACATACGTCAACCGTCTCCATCCACTCAAACAGCGGGCTAAAATCAACCCACCTACGGACAACCCCCGACGAAATCCCAACCGTCCATCCCCCGACCAGCCACCGATCCGTCCGTCCATGGAGTCCCGCTTTGACCCGCCTCCGTGTCACTCACTCCCGCCCGCCTCACCCCGTCCCGATGACCGATCCGATCTAGCAACCAAAAAAAAAAAATCTTAATAAAAAAACAAAATCGTTTGTCAGAACGAGAAAAAAAAACCCATATAAACGAAAAGACAAAAAAAAAAAGAAAGAAAAAAAAAAGAAAAACACCTCCTCCTCTCTTCCTTCCAGCGAGCTCCACCTCCAGCCAGCCATAGCCATCCCCTTCTCCGATTCGATCGCTCGCCGTCGCCGCGGGGCCAATCCGATCCCGCCGCTCGCCGGCGATCCGGTTCGAGCCGCCGGAAGGGAGGCGATCATGAGGAAGCGGGAGCGGGAGAACCCGTGCGGGATCTGCGGGCACTACCACAAGTACGAGCTCGGGGAGGTGTGCGGGGTGTGCGGCCACCGCCCGCCGGCGTCGGCGGGGGCTCAGGCGGCGGCGGGGGCGGCGCAGGCGGCGGCGCCGAGGCAGGACTCGGCGTTCCCGTCGGAGATCCTCAAGGACTTCCTCTTCCTCGGCAGCTACGACAACGCCTCCCGCTCCGAGCTGCTCAAGACCATCGGCATCTCCCACATCCTCAATGTACGCCGCCTCGTCTTGCGATTGCTTTGATCTCTTGGCGTCTTCGCATGGTCGATTTGGTTAGGGTTCGTTGATGCGCGGGGGGACGGGCTGGCTTGGCCTCTAGGGTTCGATGCTGAGGTGGATTCTTGCTTGCCCGTTTTGGTTTGTGTGGTAAGAACGTTTTAATTGGTTTGCATGCATGCCAATGGGTGGATCGATCGATTGCTATAGGGTTTGCTAGCATCTCGTTAATCACCTATCCTATCAGCGAAGCATCTTTTTTTTTTTTTTTTTTTTGCTACGTAATTGTAAGATTGTTCTTTTGGAATTATCTTGATATGGGACATCGGAGTGTACCTGACTTCCAGTTTGTAGTTTCGTCATCCTGTTGTAGCTGTACTGATTGTTGAGGGTGATGAGCGGCAATGTTGCTTGAGGTTAGTTAAGGTGATAGCTGGATTGGAGTCTTTCAAGCATTTGCAGAAGTATGAATTTCCATCCTAAAAGGGATATTCCAAGAGGATAATAAATTTAGGGAATCAGTCATTATGATACATGCATAAGTATATCTCGCTCTAAGTAACTACACTCTTATTTGCGCTATTTTAAAGAACCTTTTAGAGAGGGATCAATATGCAATCCCTTCGGAAAAGAATACGTTACAATATCTTACATTACATCAGTTCAATTGCTACGAACAATTTGGGTCTATTTTCAGGAGGGTTGCATTGAGTTAGGATCACCAACTTCCACACACACCTTTCCAAAGCCAAACCTTTCGGCACATTATATGCTTTGAAATCTCTTTTACTGCCTTATCCTATCATTGCCGTAGCTTTATCTAAAATGAAGAGACCAACTATAGAAATGGAATAGTAACATTAGATAATTAAGCTTTGACCATACAAAGTATTATGTTAAGAGAACATAAAACTACTTTTGTTGGTTAACATGTAGTGTATGCTGTTGGTTCCTTCATGTAGTGTATGCTCTATGCTGTTGGTTCCTTAGGTATTCATTTATTGATATCAAGGGCAAAAAAAGAAGGGAGAAGGGGGGGGGGGGGTGTCAGGTTTGGCCAATTCCAAACTCTTTTGTCCAAACTCCAACACTGCTTCTTCTTTTATCTCTAACACTACTTAAGATTCCGCAATGCATCAGTTGCTACTGTTGCATATGCCCAAACCACCTCAAGCAATATTGGACACGCTTCTCTTCAATTGGTGCCACCCCTACGCTACCACGTACACCCTCATCTCTAATTTGATCCTTCCTTGTATGACTAATTTTGTGTCATTTGGGAATAGACCAATCCTCTGAGATGAAGCTTGCTATTGCAAGTACCAGTTAGTTGATGGCAACTAGGAACAATGGTTAGCTAGCCAATATCTGACAGGATTATCAGCTTTATTGTTTAGACATGTACTCTGCAACTTTGCAAATGTTCTTGTTCTATTTGAAAGTAAAATGATATCTTACATAGTTCTTGCTTGGCAGACTGTACCCTTATGCCAAAACCTTTACCGAAATTCGTTCACGTACCACTGCCTTCAAGACGAGAAGACTTTGCAGTTTGATGATGCAATCCAATTTTTAGGTATTGATGCTTGTGCTTCCAGTCTTTTTGCCTGCAGCAAATAGATTTGAGTTATGCTGTACTGTTTTTCTAGTTATTCTATGATCTATGCCAGACTGTCATTGTTGCTTGCAGTCATCCATTATGTCTTAGCATAACATTCTTCGCTCTGAATGTTCCAAAATATTATAATAGGTTTAGCATTCAGTCAGTATGACCTTTCTATATCTAATCAGTTTGTTATTTTCAACTTCAGAACAGTGCGAAAGAGATAAAGCACGTGTTCTAGTCCATTGCATGTCAGGGAAAAGTAGGTGTGTACGTATACTTGAATTCTCGTTGGCAGATTTTTTCATGTTTCTGCATCCAATATATCTAATGCTACTGAAACACAATTACCAGATCAGCAGCATTTGTGATAGCCTTCTTGATGAAGACCAAAGGCTGGAGACTTTCCCAGTGTTTCCAATGGGTGAAAGAAAGAAGACCACAAGTGCAATTGGCTGATGGTACCTTTATACCTCTACAAAATATTTACTTATTTTCAAGATGATGCACTTAAAAAACTAGGCGAGAAATAGAGACTAAATCACACATGTTTTTAGTGTAAACTGAAATATGTCGCATTTAAGAATCTTCTGCCAATCCAATTCCCGCATTTGAAGAAAAGTGAAATCTGTACACCCTAGATGGAAATAACAATTTACAGTTACTTGGTAAGATGTAACATGAACTTTTCATGGTATGCTGTCAAGAGGGAACTCAAGGCAAAGTGTATCCTGGATTGTTCATATTTAGAAGATGTGGTACACCAAGTTAGCGTTACCATTTCTCATCAGTTTTCTTGTTAATGGCATGGTAAGGAAACAACTGAGTAGTTCAGCTAGCATACATTGAGATACAAAAATACATGCATTTTATAATTCAGACTGCTTTTATACCTTGCTCTAGCATATAAATGGGCATAATGCTACCAGAGTGCACCATGATAATCTTACAATATTGATCATTGTTTTCTACAGCGGCGCAGCGGCAACTGATCGAATATGAACAGAAGCTTTTCAATTCCACTGTTGGCATTCCAGCTCAGGCTTTTGTTCCAACAGATGCGTTCCCTTCACTTGGATTTGGTTTCCCAAAACCGTCAGGAGACATCCAGGTGCCTATCTTTAACCAGCAGGCTCCAGCATCCATCTTTGAGCGTGTAAGCCCACACAACATCCCTAGCAATTTCACATTTGGGGCTGAAAGAACTACTGAAGTGAAGCTCCCAGATAACAATAGCTTTGGTGTTGTCAACTCATCTGGGGGCGATAGCATGATGGACAGCTCCTAGTATGTTTTGCATTGATACAAAAGGAATCAACTCCGAATTTAGTCAGATTTCTCGGGATGTTTTAGATTTCTGAGAAGGAAAGTTGCATTTTTTGTACAAGGATTTCAAGCGTTTTGACCATTGCAGTTCTGCGTTTTAACAAACATGTATGTGCTTTTTCATCGAACTTTTCAAGTGTAATTCAAGTTAACTGAAATTACGCTGGAAAGCTCAAGTAAAAGCTATGCATGTGTTTTTGTTGAAACGTAGAAATGTAGTCGTCAAGAATGCTGTAACACCCAGAAATATTACTCCCACGGCTGCAAGATGAACTGAGAAATCTGGAAAATACACACATGGTTTGTTTGTTTGTATCTTGGCAGTTGTTGATATACTAGCTTGAGTCCCTTGCTTACAGTGAAACTTTCTTGCCAAGTCGATGTTATTTGCATTGAAATGGTTCGATTATTTCACCCCTGATACCCGAACCAAAAGCTGAATAAAACAGTGCACGCTGGACAGAATAGTCAGCAGTAGGGATGTACACAGCGGATAATTTCCATCAGCTCAGGAGAAAAACAAATACGGATACTTTTTGAGCGGATAGTTTGGATACGGATACAAATATAAATATTTTCTCCAGGATATGAAAAATATAAATATTTTCTCCAGGATACGAAAAAGAATATGGTGTTAGGATTTCCGACTGATACGGATATCCTCTGAAGCCAAGAAACATACCTCATTTCTTTATAACTCTATGACCTATTTTAATTGTAGCCCATCTCTTAATAGTAGTCTACACTATTAGTATTATTTAAACTTTTTAATGTTTTTATGAATTATATTATATTTATATAAAACGAGCTAATTATATATGATGATATTTGTTTGTATTAGAAATCGAGGTGGTTTGTGTGATCTGAGAAAAAAAATTGATTCTGTATTCGTGTCCAATAGCATTTGATCCTTATTCGTATTTGTTTCTGTATCTGAGCTATTCGTATTTATTTTTGTATCCGGCAAAAGATATGAAAACATGGTACAGAGGACTATCCGTCTGTATCCGCGCTGTTTACATCCGTAGTAAGCAGTGCATGTTGCACATCTATTCGGCGATCAGAAGTTCAGAATTTGAATTTGATACATGTTTGCTGTGTGGGACATGTTCTTCGAACTTCTGTACAAGGCAGTTTCCTTTCAAGATCTTCACGCACTTCGGATGCAATCAGAATGTGCTGAATTAGGGAAGACATGGCGACGTCGAGCAGCAGCAGCGGAAAGCAGGGGAAGAGAACTCACAGCTGAACGCGGTCGTCACTTCCTGCTCATTAATTTGCTCGGATTTTGCGCAAAATTTCACAGTACAGATTCCAACCAAATTACCTGTTGCATCCATGGCCTCGACGCCGAGCGTGCGCGCTGGACGCACTGGAGGACGACGCCGACGCGAGGAGGCTCTGCTGGATGGCACAACTGTGATAGATCACTTCGGCGTGTGCTCGACTACTCGTGGGCACATGGGGGTGATGAGCCGACGCTTCCTTCCATCCAAAATTCACTATCACATAATTAATTAACTATTAACTACTATAAACTTAAAAATTGAATTTATTTAGCTTTTCTAAACAACTTTTATGTAAAAACTTTTTAAAAAAACACACCATTAATAATTTAAAAAGCGAGTTAACGGAAAACGAGAAAGTTGAAGTTTGAAATTGAAGAAAAAAAATAGGCTAGGCCGTTGGGATCTCCTTCGCCAGTACTCTCCGCTCACTCGACTTTGCATCGGTGTCGTCCTGGTGAGTGCGTGGCTACAAATCAATAAGCAGGCGCCAGGCGGCCTAAGCGAGTCCTAGCTTGCCTACTGCACATTTTCAAAAATCCGAGCAAACGAGAAGTGACTGAAAGCGGAATAGGTTCAACACGATAATTCATCAATCACGGGACACGTGTACATTAGGCACGAGATTTTCCTTATCTTCACAACCGATTTGAAAGAGAATCGCGAGAGAATGAGGGGATGACCTAACAAGGAGATAGATGTTTCTACGTGTCTAACAGTGACAACCATGTTCACTACTGAGTTCTTCCCCCTTTTTTCGCTGCTACTCACCTGGCCTTGCCTTGTCTAATTTAACACATTTTGACATGAATCCGACGTGCGTGCAGATCTTGAAAGGAAATTGCCAAGGACAGAAATTCGAAAAACATCCCATTGAGCCTCAAAGGTCAGCTAGACTGTTGAGCGATCCCAAGTTCCTCATACAGCAAACCTCAGAGGGGTCATGGGTGCAAGGCCTGGTGTTTTCTGTTACTCTGTTACAAGGGAATTGAGGGAAATATTTGGAGCCTCCAACCTCTTTCTCAAGGGGATTAATCGAACAAGTACTTCCACTTGAAAGACAAAAGTGAAATGAAACCTGCCACAGCATGACATACGTTCCCAAATGGGGAAAACTGAAGCTATGCAAAATGGAGCTTAAGCAGCAATGAAGTAGCACAACGCATTTCCCTAAAAAAAAAGTAGCACAACGCATCATTCATTCCTTATTATCAACTTTTTGGGACAATTATCTGTACCATGTTCAATTATAGACATATAATACAAAGAATTTGAAAGAAATTTGCAATCTATTTGTGAACCATATCTCTTTATTGTGCTATAAATAAAAAGCAAACTTTACATTCCATCGGTAGGCAATGAGTTGGCACAAGGCTTCATTTTATCTGTACGAGTAGAACCAAAGTAACTCAGCAAAATTTTCACACCAGCTGTCTTTGACACTAGATTCATGGTCTAATGTACTCAATAATGCAGTTCTCCTTGAGCCATTCGAGCACCTTCGCTGCCTCTAGAACATCCTGAACCTGCATGGTTCAACCCCCATACGAGACATAGTTACATATTAATACCAAGGATTTCAAGTTGTGGAAGCAACATCGCAGGACAGATAATTTATTTAGCATGGTATTATGCTTATAAATATTAGGCACATTAATGGTTATCAATTAGTGGGTATATTTTAGTAGCTCAAAAGGTTGTCACAACATGATCAAGAGAAGATTCCCACACTCAGTTAACTGAAGGTATTCAGAATTGGAAATATCAGATGAAGCAGTTAAAAACCTGCTGCTTGATGCTCCCCTCATCATAGTCTTGATTATAGTGTTTGAACTCTTCTATAGAGTTCTCAACTTCCTTTACCAGTTGCTCGGTCGAAAACTGCAGAACTATACGTTGTTATACATGGATAAAAATGTTTGAAACGAAATATAAAGCAGAGAGGTTCCATGATTATATCGGGAATCACAGGCACAAATCATGTGTATATATTGTTACCTGCAGATTTTCAGCCTTGAATATTTCACCAACAGCCAACATTTGTTTAATGATTCTATTAATATTTTCTCTCTCACTTTCTAGGTATTCCTGAACTGACTTTTGGCTTGAAAGGGATGCCAGCTGGTCTTTATCTAGCTTCCTTTCTGCCTGCAGGAATTAATAAATTTACATTGAGAAAGGAAGAAAAGATAGGTAGTAGTTAGACTATTATCCAGTACCTGGAGTTGTAGAAGTTTGGCTCCATACAACTGCTGGCCTTGTTCTTGAAATAAGGCTCGTGGAACATCAACTTCAACTAACTATACAAACCAAGTGAAAATTTAGAGCAAGACTACAGGATGTTGGAGAAGGTGCAAAAAAATTGACAACAGAAAGAAGCATGATGTACAATGATCCCCTAAGTCAGGACTTCATAACTTAAGGCCTTATTTAGGAGTAAGAAGACTACCTTTCCAAGCTGATCAAGGATTGCATTATCTGTTGCTTGTTCTATTGCTGTTTTCTCCACTTCTTTACATCTTTGCAAAATGCGTTCTCGAACCTGTAATGGTCAGGAGGGATAATTGTTATTGAACGCACTTTAAAGCTAATATTTTATAAACTCAACAAAGAACAAGGAATAGCACACGGTAGTAACATGCAAAGATGCAGGTCAACTAGCACACATCCCACAATGAGGGTTTCAGTGAATAGCACAACTGGTAAGAAACACTACTGCAATAGGGTAGAACCTGATCCATGGTAGTGCAGCCTGGAAGGAGCTTTCCAGCAAGTGAGTCATCCAATTCTGGCAACTCTCTGTAGAAGAGCTCTTTGCACACAACCTACAGAATTAGTGAAGGATGGGAATGAAAATCATGGTAATAGCCTTAGACTGAAAGTCTGGGACACAAATCTGTCACTGTGGAGAGCGATTAAACATTTCATACTCAGAAAACAAATAAACATGCCTAGATTTGGCATATGAAAATGATACTGATGTGGTGTGATATAGGCACAATATATTTATAAATGTGATCCTTGGGAAGTCTAGTTGCACTCACAGTAAATTGAGCACGGACACCTTGCAGACTTTCTTGTTCAAAGGACTCAGGGAATTGAAGAGGAAATGATCTAGTCTCACCAGGACGAATACCAATTAACGAACCAAGAAAACCAGGAACAAGGTTATTGTTTTCCTCAGTGTCCAAGTGGAAACCTGTAAATCATAGTAAATATGTATGAGTGTGACAACACAAAAGAGAAATATATCACCGTGGTTTCCAAACAACAGGAAATGGAAGCCGCTGTGCACACACTATCGGTACAAAAGATAAATCCAGGCATGTGGAATTAATGCCACACCGCTACTCAAATTAGCTGCAAACAAGTGCAGCATCAAGGCATTACTATAGGACACACACTTTTGACATATAGCATTAGCATATCACTTTGCTGACTAGTCATAATGCACCAAAAAGTGAAGTTTTGGAAAATCTTATAAAACATGTGTGTGAATAATTGACAAACCTTTACTCTCAGCTGATGGAATTTTTTCACCTTTAGAGCCATCACTGGTAATACTTTCTGCAAATATATCTAGTACCACCAGATCACCTACCTACATAAGTCCAGAAATAGATGTCATGGCATAATAATATTACCAACAAAAACCATGAAACTAGTTTTAAATTAACATGTCAAATACAGATAACCCTTCATTCATATTTTGAATACAAGACTTCTCAACATTTTTAAGAGAACGTCTGAAAGTAAAAGGAAATGTATAACATGGTAAAATCCTGGACTATACAGTTGCATCATGTACATGACAAACTTGGAGATTTAGAACCCCTTTTTTCTGTATGAACAGATAGATTATGCTAACAAGAAAAGGATGTGTGACTTACACCAACATCAGATCAAGATATTATCAAAGGAATATCCCCGTGAATAGAAATAAGTAAATATCACAGTGGTCATATTGGTCCTGAATAGTACTGCCAGTACTAACCAATATTAATAGGGGCATACAAATGTTACACGGACTTTGGAAGATTATGGACATCATAAGACTCAGGAAATAACATACAGTGGAAACATGAATAAGTGGGAGTAAAATAATAGTTAGCTTTATTGGCCAGTTTTCTGTAAACTTTGTCATCTAGAATTTATTTGAAAATGGAAAATCATACTCTGAGTAATTAATACTAAAGGCATAGTTCATTTATAACATACTAGAGAGAAACCAAAATATTTTACCTGCAGTCCTCTGTCAGCAACTATTCGGAGTAATCCTAGAGCTTTATGACGACGTTTAAGTTCTATCTCAGCTGCCTTTTCAGCATCAACAATTTCATCTATTTCAACGACCACTTTGAGGTTCTTATATTTATCTTCAGATAACCATCTCACTTCAGGGGCAACATCCACAGAAACATCATATCTGAGTAAAATTTGGTGAAACAAAGAGAAACGAACTCAAAGGCACATTACAGTAATCACTAAATCGTACACAAAACAAAAATTTACAAGTTAGACAAATAAAAACAGGAATCTAGAATAGATAGTAGTAACTATGTACCTAAACACATTATCAAGAGAGAATGAATTTGCCATATCTTCAAACTTTGTTAGAATGCGTACAGAATCTTCTAATGCCCTGTCCTCTACCTGAAACAAAAGAAAGGTAGGTATCAACCGAATAGGATGTAATAGTGTGTACAACATAACATGTAGTATCTTTTGAGATGGAGCAAGGCATATCATGATTCAGGGAGAGGTTGGACCATTAGGGAGATAAGTTATCTGTTGTGCAACAAAGTTCATAGCATTTCTGCCCCAAATATTAGATGACGCCAAAGGCTGGTGAGTTTTTGGTTTGTTGACATGAATGATGCACATAGCATATCAGTATTAATCATATCGGCACTTCGCTATCACTCTGAAAATACAGGTAATCGTAACTACATTTTGCTTTTTATGAATGGCCCGAAGAAAAAATTCAGACAAGTGCATTGGAGTAGTGCTTTTTAGAACAGAACTCAGGAAAATTCATACCGAGGACAATGCTTGAGGAAGTGTATGCCTCAAGATAGCTTCAACTGTAGCATCCTGTACGTGTTTTGGTCCTACATAGTTTATAAGTACGTTCTCTGGAACTACTTTCCCGGGACGAAATCCAGGAATCTGACAAGAAGAGATAGGAGGGATATTAGCATATTGTTTAGAATATACTATGTTCGTTGCGAACATCATCCTGCTTAGAAAACATAGCAAATAAATTTATCATGAAATATTGATGTTACATGCAGAAAGCTCAAACATGCTAGCTGTGTCGAGAGTTTCCAATTTCAAAATGTAGTCGATCTCAATTACACACAAAAGACCAGAGCTCATTTCTGAGCAACCGCACGTCTTCCTTGCAAAAAAGACTATCAGTGGTATGCAGCACAAGTTATCAGCTTGGCAACTCCTATGTAGTTACAAAACATATATACCCATTAACCATAAAGAAGAGACTAATCTCTGGGCGAGCCGCCCAGTCTTTTCAAATTATGCAATCAATCAACATTGTTCCCATGATGTACGCATATGTTTCATTTGGTCTATGTGCTACCACAGAAATGGTACCTTGAAGCGCTTTGCGTACTCTTGTAGAGTAGTTTCATAGCATTGCTGGCATATGGAAGGAGGCACCTCCACACTGAACTTGACCTGTAAAAACCAGCACAAACCAAACCCATAAGAAATCAAGCACAAATTCGTAAGTCTCACACCTACCAAGATAGAGACAAAAGGGAATTCATAAGCGAGCGAATCACTCCCGCTCTCCAATTTCACACAAGCGATTGCGATCGATTCGAGAGACGAGGAGGAGAGAGCCTAGGGGAGGAGGAGGAGCTAACACTGGAGCCGGGCTGCAGCGTCTCGGTGACGCGGACGGAGTCTCCGCCCTGCGACGAGGCCTCCCGGAGCTCGACGGCGGCCGAGGCGACGGGGAGCCGCCGCCTCTGCGCCCGTGACCGCGAGGCGGTGGAGGCCGCCGACGTGGAGAGCGCGGCGAACTGGCGGGAGGAAGAGGAGGGGAGGAGGGAGCAGCTGTCCCTCGTCGGGACTGCGAGCCTGGAGCTGCGGGGTCGGTGAGCACGGGTGGTGGAGGAGGCGGCGGCGGCGGCGGTGGCGGTGGCGAGCTCCATGGCCGCGGCTCGCGGAGGCAGCCGATGAGCCAAGCGCGAGTGTGTGGGTTTTGTGGGGGAGAAGACGAGAGGCGAGCGGATTAGGATTTGGAAGGGGAGATAAGCGAGTGAAAGAAGAGACTCTGCTCGAGTTTTTTTTTTCTTCTTTAAGTAAATTTAAGAAAACCACGGACCTATGGCTTTTGTTGCACACAAGTACATAACAAGTTTCCTAGAACCCATTTTATTTAAATCTTAATTAAATTTATAGCATATAAAAACACATTTTATATAGTTTAAGCAGTAGAAAACCACGTATCCTATCTTACTAGAGTAAATTTCACAAAACCCCGTTTTTGGGCTTCTGTAGCACAAAAACCCCGGGTCTTGCAATTTGTTTCATGAAACCCCAGGTTTTAGAGTAAAATGTTCCACGTAACCCTAAGTACAAACTTACATCGTTTATTTGACTAATATATTTATCTATAATAATTGTAAAATAATATATAATATACTTTTTAAGTACATATGTAATGTTAGTTGCTTTTTAACAAGCGTTGATAATCATGTTTTGATCACATATGTGTATATTTAACCTATTATTATATTATAATCAGTAGGTATTATGTTAAGCTTTTCCAGCGCAAAATTGAGAAAAAATGAAGTAGACGAGGAGAATATGTCCTTTTATAGCCAACTAATGTAAATTGATTAGAAAATAATCTTATATAATAATAAAATAGGGATATGAGTATTTTACATATGAGGTTTCCTGAAACATTTTGGTTCAAAACATGGGGTTTCGTGAAACAAATCACAATTACCGGGGTTTTATATAACGGATACCCCAATACCTGGGGTTTTGTGAAATTTATTCTACTATAAAACAAAATTGATGCTCACTAACTACTAAAGCTTAACATGCAAATGTGTCATATCATCACCCACTAGCAATTATTATGTAGAGTATTTTAAATCATGCAAGTATGCCACATCATCACTCACTAGCAATTATTGTCCAGAGTATTTAAATATCATGCATATATGACATATCATTTATAATTTTATTATATTTTTAGAACTCAATATGCAAGGAATTTTAAATCATTATCTCTAAATCATTTTCACATTATTTAGACATAAACATATACCATTTCTATGATGTATAACATGCATTAATCCATGTATCCGGCAGCAAAGCGCGGGGTAAACTAGTTTTATAATTAAAGTTATGACTTATGCCTCATAATCGGTTTAATAGAATCCACCTTATTCCAATCTTAATTAAAATTTTAAAAAATATATCTAAAATAATATTATTAAAAATTGGGAATAATTAGACCAACCACATCTATTAAGAAATCGTTACTTGAAAATTTCATATAAACTTTATAACATGAAAATTTTAAGTAAATGTATGTTCAATATGTATGGAGGCAATGTTTTATGAAATCTTACCTTCATAATATCTGGTTATGTGTCACAACTCACAAGTCATAATACATATGATTCTTTTTAAAAATTTCACCATAAAACATAGTGCTATCTAAAGTTTAATCTTTTTATCCTTTATTGGACATAATTGAAAGAAGTCTGCCTCCTTTCTCTCATAGGGAGAATGGTTAAACCCTTGTAACCCTTGTAAACTCTGCTCTGTCCTTGTCAAAATCTGTCATCGAAGTAAATGACATAGCCAGAAGAAACTGACTGTCGAGAGAAAATGACATCAAATCCAAACCAAAATTTACTCGAAACAAACCACCTATTTTGAAAGCTACCCAATTTTTCTCAACTTTACCTATTTGACCCTCTTTTTTAAATTTGAGCCATCTTTTTTTAAAATTGAAGATGCTATATAACCTGATTCCGTAAAGTTAAGTTACGGTGTTTAGACAAGGGCCAAATTACCTTTTATATCATTACTTATTTGACCTACCTTTTCAAAAGGATTTGTTTTACCCCTACTTTTATGCATTTACTATTATATATAAAATGTGGTAGAGATTTTGACACATATAGGACAAAATTTTTGACAGGTTAATGACAAATTAGACATAGATTTGACAAAATTATGATTGAACTTCTAACAAATTTTCCAAAAATATGCCAAAATCTGTCATAGATCTGTCAACATTTCCATCTGCGTAGAACTAGAGAAAAAAAAACTTAGGGTCAAATAAGAAAAGGATGAGGGAAGAGAGGGAAAATGTGAAGAAGTTGTGTTTCACTGACATGTGGGGCCTACATGGGTTTCACGCTAACTCAGCTGTCACATCGGATAAAACCGCGGTCAACCAGAGTCAATACTGTCTAGGGACTTGTGACCTGGTTTTTTAAGTTAAGAGATGCTATATATCTGGCTTTTGGGTTTAGGGATGATTTTGTAACTCACTGACAAGATGTGGGACCTTAGATGTACTTTTTCCGTGCCGCGTCTGCATAGCCTAATGTGCTGGTTTTTGTCGGCCCAATAACCCACTTCCTGTTTTCCGTTAGAGTAAGTCTACTTTGACTCCCTAAAAATTATAGCTCCAATCTAATTTATATCCCTGAATCACAATACTGGATATCATGACCGTTCAACTACTAAAACCGGTCTAATTTAACTCCCTTCACGGTTTTAGAGGGTGGTTTTGCTAATGTGGCACTTTGACTCGGTATATATAGCTGAATCATCCTGTAGGGCCCACATGTCATTCTCTCACTACTTTTCTTCTTACTCTTCCTCTTGCCCATTCAGCTTTTCCACATACTATAGTTTGGTTTTTCCACGACGGATAGCAGGGGTAAAAATGTCTGGGATAAAATAAATTGGATGTAAAATGATTTAGAAATACAAGAAACAATGAAAATGACATTCTAGCGAATACCCAAGACTTGTCAGTGGCATTTAAGCCAATCCCTCAGCGAAACCAGTTTTTAAGGGCGACAGACATGTAAATTTCTCCAAAGGAAAGCCTATGGTGCGCCAGATGGTGTACACGCCCGTGTTCGGCGGACGAGTGCGGCAGACGACCACGAGGCACAATCCCCACAATCCCAGTTGGTCTTGGGCGTCGTCTCTGCGGCAAAACATATCGGGCATGTTTGGATTGATGACCTACCAAAATTTTGGTAGTGCCAAATCTTGGGCAAGTTTCGGTACTACCAAAATTTTGATAGGGTAGAATTGAAAATGTTTATTTGGATTGAAGCCAAAATTTGCCCATAAGAGACAAGTTCATAGGTAAAGTCAAATTTATGGCATTGATAGAGTTTTAGTAGGGGTGTTTGCTTTGCTACCCTACCAAAATTTTGGTAGGGCAAATTTTGGTAGGCCAAATTGGCCCATCGTGTCTCCACTCGAAACCGAAGTTCCGACTAATCTGGGCGGCCGCATCGCATCGCCCTCTGCTCCGTCTCCACCACCACGCACTCTCGCGGTCTCGCCCCTTTTGCACGCAGCGTGTACCGTGTACCACCGTGCGACGCGTGGCTTGCTTCTACCACGCCCTGGCCCGACAAACGTCCCACTCTCGCATCCCATCTCATCCCCTCCACGCATCGCCTGCACGCCGCTGCGCAGACGCGCTGACCCGACCGGTCTCGGTCCGTCCAGCCCGACCGAGCGCTGCATTGCTACTGTACCGCGCGCCTACGCCTAGTGGTGCATGCGCGCTGCACGGCCGCACCCAATAATCTTCCTCTCCGTATCATCAATCAAAAAAGAAAAAACGAAACTCCTCTCAAAAAAAAAAAAAAAAAACTCAAACCCAAACCCCTCTTCCTCTCCCATCTCCCAATCTTCGTCCTCTTCCTCTCCGTCTCGCCACCTCGCCGGTGTCCGCCGGTGCCGGTGGTGGTGCGGAATGGAGGAGGGGAGCTCGTCTGCGGCGGAGGAGCTGGCGCGGGGGTGGGTCATACTCGATCGCGTCGCGTGCGTGGACGACGAGGAAGATCCGCGGGAGGTCGCCCTCAACGTCGCCGAGCCGCCGCGTCTGTCGACGCTCACCGTGCCGGCCAAGTTCCACGCTCTCCCGAGCAACCCGGACGAGCTACCGTACGTCGCCGCCGCCGACCCCTTCGGCCTCCTCGTCCACACCGCGGCGAGCCCCTCCTGCGGCCTCAACCTCGACGACGACCCACCCGGTAGCTTCGCCGTGCTTCGCGAATTCCTCCCCGTCGGGGCCAGCAACCCCCACGAGGCCACCGGAATCGCCGAGCGTGTCCCGGAGCGAGTCGGCGGATCCGTGCCCCACATCTCCAACCTCAAGAACGTCGGCTTCCTCACCTCCCCTGGAACCGGCGGCAAGGACTACGCCATCGCTGAGTTGCAGATCGAGGCCGGCGCCGAACTCGCCAAGCTGATTGTCTTCCGTTCTGGAACTCCCGCTTGGGCAGTGAGTCGTCTCATCCGCCCTGATATGCCCGGACGAAGTAATTTGCACTGGGGGTGGCACAACGATGATGTCATTTCGTTCGATGGGAACCTTTGGTTTGTTAATCTGTGGAGGGGTCTCATCAGCTGCAACCCGTTCAGTGATCATCCTGTTCTGCAGTTTCACCAGCTCCCAGAGCATATCCCGATAGAAGACCAAAACAAATCACAGCGTGATATTGAGGCTGATCGCTGTGTCAGGGTTAGCAAAGAGAGATTGCGCTACGTGGAGATAACCCGTGTACACAATGCTCCAGTTGAGTCAACTACTGTTGTTGTTTGGGTGCTGATCTGCGGTCCGAGAAGCATGTCGTATTGGAAGACCAATTGCATGGCATTTCTTGGGGACATTTGGGAGAATGAGACCTACAAGGCAACGGGTTTGCCCAACCAGGTCCCAATCCTTGCAGGCATACACCCCAGCAACCCTGATTTGGTTTACTTCTTTCTGGAGCATCACCTGTTTGGCGTCAATCTGTACAAGAAGATGGTTATTCACTTTGTCGATGAACATTACCAGCTTTTGCAGCCAATTGTTCGCTCCCGCTCGCTGCAGCCACTCTCTTGGCACCAAGTACAGCTTTGGAAGCTACCTCCGTCACTTCACGCAGGTAGAAATGTTCCTATACCATATGCAAAAATTAGACATAATTCTTCCAAGCCTGTATCACTGTACGTTGAATGACATTAGAAGCTAGAAATGTTCCTATACCATATATATGTACCACAGAATAAAACAGGGTGTACCTTACTAAGTTTGGTTATTTTTTGAAGGTTCAATAGAACTGTCAGCACAGCACGCTAGTGACTTAGGTAACCTCCACCTGAAGGCTGCTCAGCTACGGCGTCAAGAACATGCTTTAAAGAGACGTGAAAAGATGATTGAGATGCGAGAGGAATCAGTGCAAGGATTGCACAAATCACTTTTGGCACCCGAGGAAAAGAAGGTATTACAAATTTTTTCCAAGACTTTTGAATTTCTCTTTTATGAAGAAATTTCTGCATTATCCATGAAATCGTGTTTCTATAAAAAAATATATCTAATATCAGTATGCATGCTTATAGCATAGTTATACATTGTCCCATATGATTCAAAATGAATGCTTGAAATGTAAATCCCATAGCACATAGGACCATCAACTTCCAGAATGTTTTGTGCGTGTAACATGGTCCTGAGCAATATATTTTCTTTTACATAAGCTAGAATTGCAGGGAATTAGATGAACCTTCTACATTGCACATGAAAAGTCAACCGGCTAACCTCTTGCATGTTGATAATTTGACCCCATGCACCTAAATAATGAATGGTTCAGATTAATCCACCACTTTTACCTCCTTGGTGGTAAGTTGGAGTACTCTTTTTTCCCCACCTTTAATTGTGGGCTGCTTAGGGTGGATAAGTGATTTAAATGATTAGCACGGAGTTACCCATGCTAATTCAATTTTGCTCAGTAACTCTTTATAATTCTTGTAGGACGACTCTCGCTGGGATAAGGTCCAGATCGTGATTCTTGCCGTACTGATATCTGGACTTTCCCTTCTGTTCCCATTCCTACCTTGGCTCCCCTATGAGTATCTCAGCACAATAGTGATAGCATTTAGCATTGTAGTGGGTTGCTGCTGCATTGCTCTGCCTTGTGCTCTTTTTGGCTCAAACAAGTGGCAGACTTGCTGTGGAGAGAGTGTTGCACGAGTAGGCTTCATGCTTTTTTCACTGTTTGTCTTGTACTGCCTGTATCGAATGGCACTTGATCCTACACTGGAGATGACTGGCCACTCTGCCCCTCCAGCTCCGGCTGACCCAGGGTTTGCATGGAAATTGATGAGGACCTACGAAGCACTTGCAGTTGTAGTAACATCGGGACAGGTCATCTCTTGGGTTTTGGTACGTTACTATATTCTCAAAGTTTTTGCCACTGTTTTTACTCTCTTAGAAAGCTATATTAACTAATAGCATGTCATGGAAAACAGAGTTGTTGCTGTGGAAAGACATAGATGACCAGGAAGTATTCAGAGGTACATACTTTGGAGGTATGCTTTCATAATGGTCATTATCATCGCTCATAAAATTCATTATTTATGTTATAATCTTATTTTTCTTGTCTTTTCTTGATTTAGGTTGGTTTCTGGATCACAAAGTATCCATATCCGTAGTGAAGGTAGCAAGTTTTGACACGGGAGTTGAGATTTACTGACCAAGGATATCCATTTTTCGTTTTAGGACTTGGATATTGTTTTTTGGGCCACGGTATCACATTTTAGTGCTCTGTAGCATTCCCTTTTGAAGAATTGAATGATACTGTTACATTACAAATCATCAATCAATAACTCCCCTAACCATCCCCTTTTTCTCCGATTTTTCATTTTTTTTCTGGCTATCTGGTTGTTTTACACGTCTCCGTTTACTGTTATCTGCTCCTCGGCCTAATCTGCATGCTTATGCGTTGCCGGTGCGCCGGTTGGCTGCTTGATTATACCGGTTAATTACGTATTTAGTTTGTTCATTTGGGGTGTGGTTGCCGGTCATTGTGACGGTTGTTTCCGGTTGGCTGGTGCGTTGAGTGACGCGTGCCATGCTGTCATTTTTTGTTTTGATCTACTTGTTTCTTCTGTTATTTCAGATCGGTCTATCGGTTATGCATTCTGTGCCTTTGTGACTTTTTGTTTAGGTCCTTGCTATTGTTGAAAATTGAATGTGAAGAAGACAAAATTCTGTTTTTGGGGTGTGTTTGTGGTTTCTTCTTTTGCTGGGTATGGAGGTGCGATTTTCCCCATCTGCAGTCTTCCGTTCTGGGCGCGCGTCTTCGTGCTCTCCGGTGAGAGCGACATGGGCGGCCGCGGCGGCGTCCACCACCGGCGCTGGGACGGCGTAGTGCCGCCCTAGTACCTTTACCATCCAAGCCTTTCCAACATTGCAATGTTACCAGTCTGAAGCTTTCTAACAATAGCACGGCATAGAAATATTATCTCTCTGAGGATGAATCATTTTACTCAACTAAGGATGGATCGTCATGGTTCCCTTTCTATTTCTCTTTTGGTCCTATGTATATACGCAAACTGGAAAGGAAACGGAGATCTATGTATATATGGTGGTGTTTGGTTGCAGCACTGGTAACCTTAATGGTAAGAGGATAGCGGCCGGACAGAGGGTGGAGCACCTGAACACCGAATTTGTTTAATTCTTACTAGCAAATATACCTGTGCGTTGCTACAGGTAAATGCAGTAGGGAGTTGAGTCAAAATGATTGGATCTGAACGTTCCTTACCTGTTGGATGGTTGGATCAGTGGCTACTGCCAAATGACTGCACCTGATCCCAATCCTCGGAGGTGCAGTCACTATAGTGACTGCAACTTTGGCAGTAGTCACCGATCCACCATCCAATAGGTAAGGAACGTTTAGGATTAACTGTCTCTGCTCCCTCCTTTTAGCTATTTGAACATGAAATGTTTTCTCGTTTTCTTTATCTCAACTTTCTCAAATTTAAGAGAAATCAAATGTAGTTTATAAACAAAATGCACACATACTTCACTCAATAATATTTTGCACAATTGTACATAGCACTGACAAATGAACTAGTGAGTTTAACTTTTCCCCGTGTTTGGGAATAATGCATCCACTGAGTCAAAAGAAAAAAAAACTAAGCTACTACTCCAAAATCTTCCCGTAAATCAGTGTGAAGCTTCTATTGATAACTTGTAAAGAAAATGTTCCATTCAGAAAAAAAAAGAAACTGTAAAGAAAAAACAACAGGATTAATGCTTCTTAGTTGAACAGAGCATGAGTCACATAAAAAAAAGGTTAAAGGAGTTACATCAAAATATGAGCTCTACTTCAAGCCATTAAAATAAATGCCAAGCTTCTTTTAAACATCTAAATAAGTAGTATTAAATTTCTTGTCAAATGAAAAATAATTGTGCTAGTATTTCATGTTCAAATGCTAAATGAGGAAGGAGACAATTAAATCTGAACGTTCCTTACCTGTTAGATGGTTGGATCAGTGGCTAATGCCAAAGGTGCAGTCATTATAGTGACTGCACCTGATCCCAATCCTCCTTATTCCTTCCTCCTTATTCCTTCGTCTGTCCGTCACTCGTCAGCAATAATACCCTTAAAAAAGCATGAAGCAATAACACGTCAAGGGCAATGCTTCTCATCACGAAGTGTAATCGGCCTATCTCCCAGCCCATATCCGTGCCGCACCAGCCTATGAATACCCACTACCACTAGGTGGGCCCACAGATATTTTGTTTTAAAAAATCACGAAAAAATTATAGGAAAACTCGAATGGCGAACAGATGATGGGGAAAAACATATTGAGCGTGTGGTGCATAATGTGGACGACATACGGAAAACAATGGATGATTCGAAAAATCCATATTTTTAAGTAGGTATTTTTTTTTCTTTCCACTCGTCCGCAAAACACGACAGGTCAGAGTCCGTGCGCGCACCATCTATCGTCCACGCGTGTCATGACATAATCCATCTCCATGCGAGTCTGTGTTTTAACCGTTTCTTTTATCCGTAGAGAAGACGGGTATTTTGCGTGTGTGTGGGTGTATATATGTATATATGTATATATATATATATATATGTATATAAATATGTATATATGTATATGTATATATGTATATATGTATATATATGTATGTATGTATATGTATGTATATGTATGTATGTATATGTATGTATATATGTATGTATATGTATGTATATATGTATATCTATATATATATATATATCTATATATATATATATATATATATATATATATATATATATATATATATATGACACTCATATGGGGCACCATGGTGCCCGGGCACCATGGTATCAAATACACAAAATCACTCAAATTTTTCAAAATTTTCAAATTGTGAGTATATACCTAGTTATAATAACTCGATTCATACCTATACCTATCAACAAAACAACTCAAATTTAACTTTATTTCACAATCCATGATTACATACCTAACTAATTATATGTATGGATGCTATATACCTAGAATCAAAATCTAACAAAAACAAGTTCAAATTCAGTTCAAACTTGCTTTGAACTAGTTAGTAAAGTAGCTAATGTTAATATCTAAGTAATTGAAAAAGTTTCATACTCATTTGAATTAGGTATATACTCAATTTCAACAATGGTGCCCGGGCACCATGGAGCACCAAACAAATTTACTATATATATATATGTATATATATGTATATATATATATATATATATGTATATATATATATATATGTACATACATACATACATGTACGTACATACATACATACATACATACATACATACATACATACATACATACATACATACATATATATATATATATATATATACATACATACATACATACATACATATATATATATATACACACATACATACATACATATATATATATATACACATACATACATACATATATATATATATATATATATATATATATATATATATATATATATACTAAAAATCATGAGTTTGATCGTCACAAGTTAGCATGCTAGTTTTTTTAAACAGATCTTTTATATGATTCCTTCTGTATTACCAAAAGTGAACGATCTTAAAAACCGGGTATGTATTTCCAAAAGTAAACGAACTTAAAAACCAACTCATACACGGATGACGTACCAAAATACCGGCAAAAATATCTTTAATTTTTATAATAGTAAAGATAGATATAAAAATTATGTGTTATTTTAAGTTGTATTCTACTATATGTACATCATCGACACATCCATAAAAAATCTGAACAAATAAATAATATTCATTATATAATTGTATATCACTTACTAATATGCATAGGTAAATTAGACTTACATTTTCAAGTTATATACGGCGATAAAATATATATCATTATTTTTACGATTTTATAATTTCCTAAATGACACGCAAAAGTCAAAAAATGTAGACCCAATTAATGTGACATATTTCTCTTCAATGTTGAATTAAAGTGGATATGAGTTTTTAAGTGTTAAATATCTAAAGACATAAGCGGATAAATATTAGTGTTATGATTTAGAGTAAATTATACTAGCGGTTTTTAAACTTGTAACAAGGTTTTACTTAGATCCATGAACTTACAAAATGCGCATCGAGATCCCTAAATTTGGTTTAATGTATCATCTTGGTCCAAAGCCTCATTTGACCGTGGTCTTGCCTACGTGGCATGCTACGTGGACGATGATGTAATTAATTACGTAGGCAAGACTATGGTCAAACTAGGCTTTGGACCGTGATGATACATTAAGCCAAGTTTAAGGATCTCGATGCGTGTTTTGCAAGTTCATGAACCTAAGTGAAACTTCGTTACAAGTTTAAAGAACCGCTAGTGTAATTTACTCTATGATTTATATGTTATATATGTTTAAATGTTTGACATAATTTTTTTCCTTCTCTAAAAGCATGAAAATTGGAGAAAAAATATGTGAAAAGGGGGGGAAAGAATTAGGAGGGGGGTTGAGCTGGATTTTTCACATTTTGGTCCTTTTGAAAAACTTATTTCGCAAATAGACTCTTGGAAAAACTTATCCCAATAATGGTCCTTTTTGAGGCACCAGAGAGGCTGGCGCCCCCCGCCCCCCACCAAAATTTTTTATTTTTCTTTTATTTGTTTGATATTTTTTTCACGTTTAGGGACGCGCAAAAAACCAACCATAGAAAAAATGAACTCAAATGGACGTAATATGTGGCCTGTAGAATTTTTCCTCTCCTCCCTCCGAACTAGTGCAGAGGAGAGAGATGTGCAACTTTTTTATTTTTATTTTATTTTTCTGATATTTTTTTCACGTTTAGAACTCAAAAGAACCAACCTAAAAAAAAAACTCAAACGGACAGAATATGTGGCCCGTGGAATTATCCAAAGCTCTACCGAAAAACTTCTCTCCTCGAAAACACAATCTTGCAAGCGGAATTTAGAGGTTTTAATATCGCCGAACTTGGCAAAGCGGGAGAGAATCGGATGTAACTTTTTCTGTAGATGTCCGTTGATACATTATTTGCCTGATTCCGAGTCCGTATGAGAAAGTTACGCCTATTTTAATAAATGACACCCGAATGACTTTTCGCTAGAGCTTTAGAAAATTCATATTTTGTCTGTTTGAGTTTATTTTTTGTATGGTTGGTTCCTGCGTTCTCCTAAGTGTGAAAAAAATATCAAAAAAATAAAATAAAAATAAAAAATTTGCATCTCTGTACTGTTTAACTTATGGCTATCATTTCATGTGGTTATATTTTGAATTAGATTAAGTAATTCCATATAGTGGTAGATTGCATTATGTTTAACATGCTGATCAAAGGGTTTAAATTTTTTTTGTGGTTGGTTGTATCGTGATCCTAAGTGAAAAACATCCCAAAAAATAAAACAAAAATAACACCATTGCAACTCCATACAGAGAAATAGGAATGGAGGCGAGGGGTGGGGGCGGGGGGGGGGGGGGGGGCAGCCATGCTGGCGCCCTCCTCCCTGGGGCGGCGCCAGCCGTGCTGGCGCCCTCCTCCTGCCACATCAGTTCGCGTGTGCCACGGTGGCAGGAGGACGACGCCAGAGAGGCTGGCGCCGTCCAGCCACTCTGGCGCTCCAAAAAGGACTATTAGAATTAAATTATTTTATTTTGTGATATTACGGTTATAATCTAATTATCTTTTTTAAGTGATATATGATGATATGATCTATATCATCTATTTTCTTCATAGACCTTTTAATCATTGGGATGGCATGGCAAAAGGTTAGGATATATATTTTTTATGTTACTCACATTTTATTTATTTTTTATTTTTTCATCGTAGATCCAATTTATTTAACGGAAACAGCAATACGGAATAAATAGATTTATATCTATTTAAAAGTCATGACTATTTTTTTTGGTAAATTATTTTTATTTAAAGTTTATTAATTTTTAGAATTTTAATAACTAAAGAAAAGAAAGAAGGGGAGAATAGATAGGAGGGGAGGAGGAGGAATGTACGTACGTATGTACATATTGGAAAGACGGGCTGGTGCGGGAAGAGAAGAGGGAGGTGGGTTATGTGGTATTTTTTTTTCTTTTAAAGATAAATCTAATAGTTAGAAATA